TTGAATTTTGCTATGAGAAGCTGATGATCAGAGCCACAATCAGCTCCAGGTCTTGTTTTTGCTGACTGTATAGAGCTTCTCCATCTTTGGCTGCAGAGAATATAGTCAATCTGATTTCGATGTTGCCCATCTGGCGATTTCCATGTGTAGAGTCGCCTCTTGTGTTGTTCGAAAAGAGTGCTTGTGATGACCAGTTTGTTCTCTTGACATAACTCTATTAGCCTTTGCCCTGCTTCGTTTTGAACTCCAAGGCCAAACTTCCCTGTTGTTCCTTTTATCTCTTGACTCCCTACCTTAGCATTCCAGTCCCCCAGAATGAGAAGAACATCCTTCTTCGGTGTCAGTTCTAGAAGGTGTTGTAAATCTTCATAAAATTGTTCAATTTCAGTCTCCTCAGCAATGGAGGTTGGTGCATAAACTTGGATTATTGTGATATTGAAAGGTCTGCCTTGGATATGTATTGACATCATTCTATCACTTTTGAGATTATATCCCATTACGGCTTTTCCCACTCTTTTGTTGACTATGAGGGCTACTCCATTCCTTCTACGGGATTCATGCCCACAATAGTAGACATGATAATCATCTGAGTTGAAATCACCCATTCCTGTCCATTTTAGTTCACTGATGCCCAGGATGTCGATGTTTATTCTTGCCATCTCCTGTTTGACCACCTCCAGCTTCTCAAGGTTCATAGATCTTACATTCCAGGTTCCTATGCAGTATTTTTCTTTCCAGCATCAGACTTTCCTTTCACCTCCAGGCACGTCCACAGCTGAGCGTCCTTTCGGCTTTGGCCCATCCACTTCATCAGCTCTGGAGCTACTTGTACTTGTCCTCCGCTCTTCCTCAGTAGCATTTTGGACGCCTTTTGACCTGAGGGTCCCATCTTCCAGCGTCATATCTTTTAGCCTTTTGTTTCTGATCATGGGGCATTCTTCTCAAAGATACTGGAGTGGAATTGCCGGTTTCTACCCCAGGTGGATTGCGTTTAGTCAGAACTCTCCACTATGACCTGTCCGTCTTGGGTGGCCCTGCACGGCATAGCCCATAGCTTCTCTGAGTTACTCAAGCCCCCTCACCACGACAAGGCAGCAATCCATGAAGGGGGGTTCCATGATACTCTATGCTATTTCACATATACATGAAAAACCTGAAAGAGCCTGTCCAGAATTTGATAATTAGGTACTATCCGTGACACCCAACTCCATCTACTTTTGAAGATCTTCCAGGAGGCCCTTCTCTCAATCTCTCAGGCCCAAGTGTGTGGTACTCAGCCCCTGACAATTTCACACTAGAATCTACAGTACTCTCTTAGACAGTTGATATTCTGCTTGAAAAAATAACCTTACAGTCATTAAGTGTTTTCTGTTTCATCAAGTTAAAAATTCAGTGTGAAAAAAACAATATTCCTGCATGAACACCAAATCCATTGAGTCAAATGATTTTTTTACTCCAGCTCCCAGAAGCCCCACGCAGAATATTGAAAAACAAGCTGCCCTACCAAATTGCATACGTTTAGGGTCTCCACACATGGTTCATTATTGCTCTAAAAATTATAACTTTGATACTTGAACTCAGATCAGCACTGAATTTGGAACAGATATAGCAGACAGTCGACTGTTGCTCTCAGCCAAATTTGGGGAAGTTTTTTAGGCAAAGGAGTTTAGATTTATTGTTTTTAAATAGTAAACCTGTCCCCCCTGTGCAGACACAAATGACCATCCAAGCTGTTCTTGCTTCTCTTGTCTCCCAGTAATCATAGTACAGAACATGTGCTCATTTTCTAGGATCCTCTAGCACTGGGTAATTCTATACGAGGGAAGTTTCTGTTGGAATTTATGTGTAGTATGTGTATATTTAACTTCTGTTTTGAAAACCCAGAATATTCCATTCTTTTTTTAAAAAAAACAAACAAACTAGTTTATGAACTTGGGATACTGTGCTTCCTGTATCCATTATCTAAAATGCCATGAAATGACCTGATATTGCTGCACAATCTTGCTTCCACATTGCCAGCAGGAAAAATGATGGCAAGTTTTACATAGCAAAGGGCAGCCTGGATGTTAATAACACCAATGGCGGCAGATAAGTTGGTCTGCAGAGTCACCTCTTGTGCTCACTACCATTTGCACTTATTGAAAAACAAGCCTGACAGTTGCTTTGTGTTTGGATTGAAATGGGTTAAGTGATGAAAAAAGAATCAGTTTCTGGGATTTTCTCTTGCCTGGTGTAACTTTGTGAATGGTATATGGCTGCAGAGCCAGAGGATAGGAGCCTGATTCCCCACCATGCCTCCTGGAAGAGTTAGCTTGAGTAAGGTAAAGGTAAAGGTTCCCCTTGACATTTTCAGTCCAGTCATGTCCGACTTTAGGGGGTGGCGCTCATCCTGCTTTTCAAGCCATAGAGCCAGCGCCTGTCCAAAGACAGTTTTCTGTTGTCACGTGGCCAGCGTGACTAGGGAATGCCGTTTTACCTTCCCACTGCGATGGTACCTATTTATCTACTCACATTTACATGCTTTCGAACTGCTAGGTTGGCGAGGAGCTGGGACAAAGCGACGGGAACTCACTCAGTTGCGTGGATTCGATTTTACGACTGCTTGGTCTTCTGACCCTGCAGCACAGGCTTCTGCGGTTTAGCCCACAGCACCACCACGTCCCTTGAGTAGTGATAGGTAAAGTGCAGATTCCCAGGAACAGCCCCAGAAAAAGGGGGTTGTAAACAATTTCACTGTACTTTCTACCTTAAAAAAAACTCTGGAAAGGGCCTCCATACATCAAAGTTGATGCAACACAATTATTTATTTTTATGATATCCACTCCAGCTTCACTACTAATTGAATATGGATGGCATTCAGTAGAGGAGCAAGGGACCTAAGTCCCAGAATTACCTGTCCAGTGGAACAAACATGGGGAGTTTATGCAAAGGAAGCTGCTACAAACAGGAAACTACTATTCCGTGTTACACCTATCCAGCCAGCGAGAAATACCAGGCACATATAATGACAGGGTTTGAGAAGACCTCAAAAGTCGTTGAATCATTTTTTCTTCTAAGCCAATTCAGTAAGTGAATTTGCAGGATGGAGACTAACATTACAACAGTGCTACCACTACTGAAATGGAATAATGTTATGCATTGTTAAACATTCTAGATTTGGGATAGTGTTACTGCAATCATGTCAGGGCCTACAGGATAGTAAACTGTGGATAGGAAAATATATCATGAACTATAATATTACAAGTCTCTTCTGTGGCTCCTAATACTACCCATGTTTCATAAAATCATTGTTACGATTTACCACTCAATTTCAGTGGAACATGGCTCAATTGGCTGCTTAAGTCAATAAAATTGTAATTTATTTAATATTAAGTGCTGATGGAAAAAAAGAACTTTAGCATTGACTGAATTAATTAAAGGAAACATTTAATTAAGCTTAAATCTCAACTGCTGCACCATTTCCTCTTTCTTTGTTATTAAAACTGCCTTTGCCAGCCTTTGCTGTTTATGCAACTAGTTGCTATTAAATCAAAAGTTCTTGATTCTCAGAAAAATCTAGAAATTTTACAATTAACGTCATTTATCGTATGATCAATTAAATGGGATATTTAATTTTAATTTGTATTAATTTTAATTAATCATATATCTTCAAATTAAGTCTTGATCTAAGTCTTATTCCATTTTGGGGGAATCATGAAATAATGTCTAGTAGGTAAAAAAAATGGGGTCATGAAGAGTCGGACACAACTTAAAGACTAAACAACAACAGGGGAAAAAAACTGTTTTTAATAGTAATAATTACTTAAGCCTGAAATGGATTTGTGATAGCTCATTTATTTCTTTAAATTAACAAAGATTATTATCAAAAGCATAAAATAAAATCAAACACACATGTATAAACATATGTACACAAATATACACTCTTAACTAATGTCTGTTTCTGATTCACTCTTAGAAGTACAGTGGTGCCTCACATAGCGACGTTAATCAGTGCAGCAAAAATCGCTGCAAAGCGATTTTGTCGCTATGCGATTTTAAAAAGCCCATAGGAATGCATTAAAACCCATTTAATGCGTTTCTATGGGCTTAAAACTCACCTTAAAGTGAAAATCCTCCATACGGCGGCCATTTTCGCTGCCCAGTAAGCGAGGAATCCGCACGAAAACACAGCAGGCGGCCATTTTTTTACCTGGAGGCCATTTTGGAACTGCCGATCAGCTGTTAGAAAATCATCACTTTGCGATAATCGGTAAGCCAAACAGGGTACCGATCATCGCAAAGTGATTTTGCCCATTTAAAACATCGCAGTGCGATTGCAAAAATTTTGTCGGTATGCGATTTCGTTGTTAAACAGGGCGCCCATGAAGCGAGGCACCACTGTATATGCAGACACACAGAGAAAGAGAGAGAGAGATTTTCTCCAGCTGCAATGTGTCAAAATACTATCATTCACATTTGTTGTAAAAACAGCCCTGAAAAATTATTTCTGTTTAGCTGTGGTTAACTGATCAAAAATAGAATCAGCTTCTGTTATTTTCCCTTGCTTAGTGTCTCTTTGTGAATAGTAGTGAGCACAAGAGGGTATCCTGTAGATAATCTTAACTGCTGACATTGGTGTTAACATTCAGCCTATCCTTTGCTAAGTAAAACATTTAACATAAAGATTGAGATCCTTTTTCCTGCTGGCAAAGCAGGCACAATACTATGCAGCAATATTTTTTTTCCTGCTGGCAAAGCAGGCACAATATCATGCAGCAATATTTGGCTATTTCCTGGTATTTTGAATTGTGGATATATGTAGAAGCACAATACCCCAGATTCACTTTGATGAACTGAATCAGTATTACACTCATTGGAACCTACTCAGGTTGAGACTAACTACACTTTCTTGTGCAAATTACTGTAGAAAGCAACAGAATTTGATTTCAGCTTATGCTGGTTTCTAGTCCAGTGAGCAGACTGTTATATTAACAAAAACTTTTACCATTTGGAAGTGAAGCACTGTTGATGGTTATTACACCTGTGTGTTAATATTTCACAGAATTAATTCTTTTAAGGTTTTACGTTATATATAGAATATTATCTTTGTGAAGTCACAAATAATGAATACACAATAATGCTGTATTGTGCTATGCCATAACAAACAAACAAACAAACAAACAAACAAACAAACAAACAAACAAACAAACAAACAAACAAACAAATACCTATGCATGTTGGTGGTTGCGTCCAATGACCATTATGGCAAGTTACTTCTGCATTTCCATCCATTCTGTACAGGTTTTGGCATTTATAGTGCACCTTTTCTCCCGACAGATATTCAGACTTGGCCATTTCCAGAATGTCTCCATTGTCTATAGAAGGTGGGCGATCACATCTTCCTGCAACAGCTATGGTGACACATTGAATTAGAGAAGGAAACTGTTAGGTGACACACATGAATAAGCCACCACAAAGCTCAAGATGATTTATACAAACATGCCAATCATTATAATGCTGCCAAAGATCAGAGCGGCCTGCAGAAAATTTATTTCCAAACATGATCATGACTATCAACCAATGAGGTGGGGAAAGCCCACCTCTCCCACTATGCCAAAAGAAACTCCACATGGAGTTCAAATTTGAAGCCTGGGCTTCAAATATGAAGGAATAACAAATCTTCTCCATGAAGCCTTGATAAAACTTTCTTTCAAAAATACCCTGCCTAAGTAACAGATTCCTGAGCAATTAACTGATAAAAGCTGGTGGAAATATTTGAGCAAGAGATAAAAGGAAGAGAAGGCAATTTAATGACAAGTCAAAAGTATAATAACATAAATCCTCTGCCACAGTAAGAATTGTAAATATTTCCATCAGGAGATAAGTGGAAGAGCGGAAAGCTATATGTAAGCATGTAAAACAAAAATGAAACAAAGTATAACAGAGAACATTTAAAATGTCATGTTTCTTCTGTTGTTAATTGTCCTTTCCCTTTTATTAATACAAACTGTATAAAATCTCCCCAAATATAATTATAGTCTTCTTCAGCAATTCCTTCTTTAATTTAACATAACATGTTTTCTTATTATTAATTGCCATTCCAAATCTCATTCTACCATTCAGGTATTTGAAAATAATTCTTTACTTTTTTTTTCTATAGTTGATCTTGCTGCTGTTAATAACATGGAAATTAATTATTTCTTTTACCTCTCACATTGCACATCATCTAGCAGAGATAATAATGCAACTTTAGGGAGGGCTTCTATATTTAGATCAAATATTACTTTTATCTCATTAAAAACCAGCTCCCAAAAATTCATCACTATAACACATTCCCACCGCATATGCATTTATGGACCCATAATTTGATTACATCTCCAACATTCTTTGGAATGTTTATTATCCATACTATATAATTTCATTGGTATTAAAAAGGGGTCCAGGCTTATCTGAGCAACCCAGTTGCTGACAAGAAGGGCTCAACCGGGCTCAGAGAGGCAGGACAGACATGGTGGCAGCCACTCTGGGTATGGCTGGTTCAGGCTGTTTGTGCAGTAATGATCCTTGTTTGTTTGTCAACTATCATAACTTTCTGAGCCAAATTTGTTTCAGGCATGGACATTACTGTCACAGAGGCAGGATTCCTCAATCACAGAAGAGCTCTGGAGCTTGGAAGTTGGTGATGCTCCAGGGAGTATATGACTCCATTGCTCCCTTCCATGTTTAAAGCATACAGTGCTGATGGGGTCTTTCTCATTCATCTCAAGCTTAAGGGATGCACCACCTCCTTACCAAACAACCGAGGTGGATATGCTAGACTATCTGGGACCTCCAAGACACATTTAACAGTGATTTTCCTTTAGTCAGACACAGTGCTTCCTTGAGGCTCATTGGATGATCCATGCTAGGTGAGTCTATAGCTGGGTGGGAAAGAGCCCTTCACAATGATGGTTGGTAGAGATGGGGACAAAGCACTAAAATGGTGGTGGTTGTGCAGTTTTCGGGCTCTTTGGCCGTGTTCTGAAGGTTGTTCTTCCTAACATTTCGCCAGTCTCTGTGGCCGGCATCTTCAGAGGACAGCACTCTGTGCTCTGGTCTAAAATGGTGCATTGCTCCCCTAAGTGACCAGAGGAACAACATATCATTTGTCAGGTGCAAGAAAAGGGAAATCAGTGATCCCACTGCGCTTTGATCCCTTTTCCCCTCCTCTTGCTAAGCCCCACATGAGCCATAGAAATAAGAGGGAAAGCAGGGATCAAAGAGATCCCACAGTGCTTTGATCCATTTCCCCCCCCTTGCTAAGCCCTGTGGGGCAAGAAGGGGGAAAGCAGGAATCAAATGATTCTGCAGCGCTTTGATCCCTGCTTTCACATTCCCCTTGCTAAGCCCTGTGGGGCTTAGCAAAAGGAGGGGGAAAGAAGGGATCAAAGCAATCCTATAGCGGCTGGTGGATCCTTTTGATCCCTTCCCTCCTCTTTTATGCTGCACAAGCATAGGAAGAGGAGGAATGGGGAAATTAGCCATCCCCCAGCCCCAGGGGTGGGATTCCCTTCAACTAGGCTTTAGTAAGATACCCGAAGGGAAAATCCCTCTCGGCTGATGCCCCTGGGAAACAGCTGATCTGCAGGGGCATAAGCAGATAGGGAACAAAGGGATGAATATACAGTGGTGCCTCGCATAACGAGTGCACCGTTTAATGACGAATCCGCATAGCGATCTATTTTTTGGGATTGCTAATATGATCACATTGCGATGTTTTAATAGGCAAAAGACCGCATTGCGATGATCGGTAAGTGTTTCGCTTACTGATCTTTGCATTGCGATGTTTGCGGAACAGCTCATCGGCAGTTCCAAAATGGCCGCCGCAACCATTTTCGCGCGATTTCCTCCCTTACCGAGGCGGTGAAAATGGCAACGCTATGGAGGATCTTTGCATAACAATGAGTTTTTGCCCCATAGGAACTCATTAAACAAAGTTTAATGCATTTCTGTGGGGTCCCCCCCGCATTGCGATGTTTCCAGACAGCAACGATTAATCCGGGACGGATTAACGTCGCTATGCGGGGCACCACTTGTAAAATGGTTAACCTAGAAAAGTGAAGTTGGAAGGGGCCTACAAAACCATCAAGTCCAACCTGCTGCTCAGTGCAGGAATATAATCAAAGCATATCGGCCTGGTGATTACATTTTTTCTTGAATGCCTCCAGTGTTGGAGCACTCACCAACTCCCGAGGTAACAGGTTCCACTGTTGTACTGCTCTAACAGTGAGGAAACTTTTCCTGATATTCAACTGAAATCTGGCTTCCTTTAACTTGAGCCCATTGTTGCGTGTCCTCCACTCTGGGATAATCGAGAACACATTTTGCCTCTTCTCTGTATGACAGCCTTTCAAATATTTGAAAAGTGCTATCATATCATCCCTCAGCCCTCTTTTCTCAAGGCAAAACATGCCCAGTTCTTTCAGGCTTTCCTCATAAGGCTTGGTTTCTAGCTCCCTGATCATCCTTCTCGCCCTCCTCTGAACTCCTTCCAATTTGTTAGCATCCTTCTTGAAGTGTGGACACAAGACTCAGGGGGAGGCCTAATCAGTGTTGAATAGAGGGGGACTAGCATCTCGCTTGCGGGATTTGGAAACTATACTTCTATTAATGCAGCCTAAAATAGCATTAGCCTTTTTTGTAGCCATATCACACTGTTGGCTCATATTTAGCTTATGATCTAAGACAATTCCAAGATCCTTCTCACTCATAGTTTTCCTGAGCTAGATATCCCCCATCTTGTAACTGTGCAGTTGGTTTCTTTTTCCGAGGTGCAGTACTTTGCACTTATCCCTGAAGAATTTCACTCTGCTGCTTTTGGCCCAGTGCTCCATCCTATCAAGGTCATTTTGAATTTTGTTTCTGTCTTCTAGGGTATTAGCTATTCCGTCCAATTTGGTATCATCTGCAAATTTGACAAGCATTCCCAGCACTCCCCCATCCAAGTCATTAGTAAAAATATTGAAGAGCACCGGGTCCAGGACTGAGCCTTGAGGTACCCCACTAGGTACCTCCTCACAGTTAGAGAAGGACTAATTGTACCCTCTGAGTACAATTCTGTAGCCAATTGTGTATCCACCTGACACTTGATCTATCCAGCCCACACTTACTTAGCTTGCTAGTCAGGAGATCATGGGACACTTTGTCAAAAGCTTTGTTGAAGTCAAGATATACTACGTCTACAGCATTGCCTCTGTCTATCAGGGAGCTGACCTGATCAAAAAACCAGATCAAATTAGTTTGGAAGGATTTGTCCTTGACAAATCTGTGTCAGTTTCTAGTTATTACTGCCTTGTTTTCTAGGTGCCCGCACAATGACCACTTTATGATCTGTTCCAGAATTTTGCTTGGGATTGATGTCAGGCTGACTGGCCTGTAGTTCCCCGGTTGTTCTTTTTTGCCCTTTTTGAAGATAGGGACCACATTGGGCCTCCCCAATTCTCCAGCATTTCACCCATTTCCCATGATTTCAAGAAAATAATGGAACGCAGTGTCAGAAGATGGGATATTTGGTTGAAATCTTGTACTGAAGATGGGTTATGTGGTAGTGAACAATGTAAGAGGGATTCCATATTGGTTCTCTGCATAGATGATTTCTGCAATGCTAACAAAGTATCTGCTAGTAGGAGGATGGGAGAATGCTCTTCTGAAGGCCTGAGAAGAACATTCCACGATAAGATAGATGGACTTTGTTGTGGCTTATTGCAGACCACCAAACTCAAATAATATCTGTTACCCATGGGAAAGAAATGGAGCAGAAAGTCAGCAGGTAAAGAAGGACTGTTTACCCAACGTCGTACCGTGATTGGATGACACCGTGAGAAGAGGAAGATAAGGGATATGCCAGCTAAGCTAGAAAAAGAAACTTTTGCCTATGGACAATTATGAGGATATTCGGTACAATATGGCTTAGTATGATCAGTACGATATGAATTAGTTTTTAGAGAGATGTGATTATTAGCAGTAGTAAAATTAATAGAATAGGATATTTCTTTTTCAGTATTTTTCTTTTTACAGGATCATGATGGACTTTGGACTTTTGCACTTATTTGGATTATTTTCTTCATTTTGCTTTCCTTATGGATCACCTTTTTGGATTACAGGGGAGGCACCTGCCTTTTTGCCTTCCTAACCAGTTTTTTACTTGATTTCTTAGACTTTTGGAACGTTTGCTATTTTTAATACTTTTATAGTTTTCATGGATTCTTTACTTCATTACAATTTTGTAACTAACCTGGAAATTGATCATTTGCATGCTTTAGCATAAACTATTTCTTTGTGGAATTTTCTATTTTCTTTAATAAAACAATGATTATAAAAATCAGTTGGTCTCTTGAACAGTAAGCTGTCCTAGGTCATCTGTGAGGGTATTGCCTCGGCCAATTTTACTTAATGAGTCCTAACCTGTGGAACTTAGTATGTCCAAGGACTACAAAACCCACATGGTTTTCTATCTGAAATATCCTAAGGTACAAGAGTGTTATTTTTAGGGCAGACTTGTATGAGGGTGTTGCGCACAGGCCTTGCTGGGGTTCCAGGACTCACTCAGCACCATAAGGGTGTGCAAACTCCTAATTACTCTCAGTCCACCGACTAGGTATCCTCTAGGGGGACCTGGGTCGTTACAAGCAGTTCTGAGAGTTCTTCAACCAGTTACTTCAGTACTCTTGGATGCAGTTCATCTGGCCCTGGAGATTTGAATTTGTTCAAGGTGGTAAAGTATTATCTATCTATCTATCTATCTATCTATCTATCTATCTATCTATCTATCTATCTATCTATCTATCTATCTATCTATCTATCTATCTATCTATCTATCTATCTATCTATCTACTGTATCTCCAGCTGCAATCCTGTCCCCCACCCCCCACACATGCACTTCCACTTCCAATTTGTTTGGAAGTTCATAGTCTGTCTTATGGTAAAAGACAGAACTAAAATAAGAATTGAGCACCTCTGCCTTTTCTTTGTCCTCTCATCATTTTTCCATCTCCATTGAGGAGCTGTGCCACTATGTCTTTTGTTTGTCTTTTGCTACTCACATACCTGAATAATGCTTTTTATTGCTTTTAGTGTCTCTAGCTACCCTCAGCTCATTTTCAGCTTTTGCCCTTCTAACGCCATCCCTGCAGTACCTTGCACCTTGTCTATACTCATTCTTGGTGGCCCAGACTTCTTTCCATTTCCTGTACATCTCTCTCTTTTTTGGCTCCTCCCTGAGCTCCTCCCTGAGCTTTTTGTGAAGCCACACTGGCCTTTTTTGCCAGTTATATTGATTGCTTTGTATTTGTTGAATCAGGGATTTCTAACAAATATCCTGCTTCATTTTTATATTTGTCCCCATGTCTAATGTTTGATCCTCATGCGTTTGTCAGCCAATACAACCTTTTCATCCAAGTCGGATGCAGGCTTTGATAACACCATCACGGGTGTTCTAGCTTGTTCCCAGGAAGACAGGATCAGCTTGCACTGCACGCAGGCATCAGTCCAGACCCGTTTCTAAAAGAGTGTGTCTTGGAAGTCACCAAGGGAGCATACAACTCAGCCCCCCTTCGAATTTTAGGTCATATACTGGAGCTTTGGGCCCTTTATTCTCCTTTCTCAGCGTCAAGGGATGTGCAGCCTTCTCCACATCAGAAGCAGCAAGCTTAGAATTTACCCATCCAGTAGTAAGGTGCAGACTCTTCTGATCCTTCTGGGACATTTCACATTAGGGGAATTAGAGTGGAGTTGGAGAGAACCACCTTGTGGGTCTCAGATGGGAGGACAGCCCATCGACCTGCCCATTCCTTATGTGATGACATCTAACTCAGCTGAACGTGTTGCTCCTTGTTTATAACAACATGCATGATAGCCTTCAGGGCAGTGATGGGATTCAAATAGATTAACAACAGGTTCTATGTCCTAATGACCATTTTAACTATACCAAAAGATATACCGTAAGATAGTTTAATAATTCATGCATTAAATACTGCAATAAGAACAGTAAAAGAAGTACAGGCAATTAGATTATGTTTAAAGGAAGATTTTTAATATTAAATACCTGACAAACAGTTATTGAAGATATTTCCATACTGCTGTTTGATTGCCCCTCCTCCCGCTCAGTCTGCAATCCACGAAGGCCTTGCAAGGGGTGGGTGGGAGGGTCTACTATATTTTGTCCTGTTCCTCCTCTGCCTTATCCGAGGGGGTGTAAATTGGGAGGGGAGCAGATGGGAAGTCAGAGTGATTTCGATCCCGCCTCCCCAGAAAGACACCCAGGCTCTTTCTGTGCTCTCCTGCGAGGAGATCCCCCTCTTTCCCCAGATCCTTAAGGCACCCTTTTTTGGTGGGTGGCAAAGGATTCCCTTTCTCTCCCCCCAAGAAGGAGAAAGCGGGGGGGCTTCCATTAAATGCTTGGCAGACCCTACTGGTGGTGGGGGAGGAGGAAGAATAAAGAGGCTCTCCTGCCCCCCATGGGGGTCTCCCCTCTCCTTTTTCTGCCCCATTGAGGCTCTGCCCCATTGAGGCTCTGCCCCATTGAGGCTCCACCCCTTCTGCTCATCCCCTCCACCTGCTTTGTTCTAGCACCTCCTGCCCCCGTTCCTCTTTTCATTCAGGAAAACCAAGAGCTAGCAAAGGGGGAAGGGACACTTTTGCAAGGTGGGGTGGGGTGGATGGGCTTCTTCACGAGATTCCTGCCAGAGGACCGGCAAGGAGGTCAGCAATAGGGGGTCCAGGAACAGGGTGGGGACTAAGGAGTTGCAGAGAGATATTTTTAAAAATACCCAGAAAAAAAGCCTTCCTCCCCAGAGACCGGGCAATCCGGACCGGGCCCCTCCTCCCACTTGCTCTGCAATGCAAGAAGGCCTTGCAAGGAAGGAGGGGAGAGGCATCTATTTATTTTTGTGTGTTTGTGTCAGCTCCTCTTCCTCCTTCTTTCCCCAGATCCTACAGGCAGCCTTTGGCGGGGGAAGGAGGGGGTGTTGCCAGTGGTGGGATTCAGCAGACTAGCAAACGGTTCTGCAGAATGGATAGTACATTAGGTATCGGTTCTGTAGAAGTAGTGCGAACCGGCTGAATCCCACCACTGCATCAGGGCCCTTGAGCTGGGGAGTTGGGAGCAGGTTGCAGCACCAGTTTCTCTCCTCAAGTATATTTTCTTTGAACTCTTTCAGTTTCAATACCATCTAACTTTTTTTCTTCTAGGTTGCATTTCTGCTAAAGTCTGGACTTCTCTATCCACAATTTATTTCTTCTCTAAGTCTTTTACCTCCTCTTATACCCCTCTTTTTGTCTTTTTAAATTAAATTCTTACTTGACAATTTGCCCAGATACAATTCCCTTTATAGTGTATCATATTACACTTTGTTTCCTCTTCTCTTTTTAATTTACCGTACCTCTTTCAATTCCTTCTCCATTTTATCAATTACATTTTTATTTTACTGTAATTAAATCTATTTCCATCTTTCTGCTTCTTTATAATCACATTTAGTTTTAAAATCCATATTAACTATAGCACAATCCAATATCTTAATTGTATTTATTTGTGTCTCCTCCACTCTAGTTAGTAAATTACTCAATATAAAGATATAATATATCATGGAGTAACTTCTTGGCTATCCAAACTATCTGAAAAGGGTCATCCTGGAGAAAATACATGTCCTGTTGTATTTGTCTCTCTTGTAGTGCAATTTTGCAGTTGCCTTCCCTATATCTCCCCCTTCATGTGTAATGGCTAATAAATATTATGTGAAACATCTTATTTGCCCCCACAAATTACTTTTGAAGGTAAATCTGGATATAGAGAAAAAAACCTAGACTAGAAATGGGCATGAATTGATTTGGTCCAGTTCATCTAAATTCATATGTGCAGCATTCCCTTCCCTACCCAGCTGCCCCACTCACAAGCTTGTGTGCATTGGCTAGGTCCTCTTCCTGGGGCAGCTGACCAGTCTGGGCAGGAGCAGTGATTTCCCTTCTTTGCCTCCTCTGACAGCCACCCACTCAGACAGGGAGGCAGGGCAGGGATTCCTTCCCCGCAGCCTCTGAGCAGGTGATTGCCAGAGCAAGCTGATCCCAAAGGGGCTGCAAAACATGTCAGGTGGGCTGTCCTCAGATTGGTGGGTCTGATTGCACCATACTAAAGATTCTACAGTCTTCCCACAAAACATGTGGTTAAACAAAAAAGTGGTGCTGGTGGGGAGACAGCCTGTCAAACAGTATTCTCTCTTTCATTAGAACAAAAAAGTACCTCTGCACTCTGGTAAGTTTATCCATTCTCTCTTCAAACACATTGCTGCATAAGGTCCAAAAAGACTGTAGGATGGGAGGCATCGATACTTCACTTTCTCCAGAGGAAAATACCATGGTTTTCGAACTCCATTAAGCCGACCATTTTCAATATCAGGTGGAGCAGAACACCTCATATCTGAAAGGGTAAACAAAACAGTATGTGAAAGATGGTTTGAAAATACACTTGGTTTCCTAAATCAATGTTTGTATACAGTGGTGCCCCACATAGCAATGATAATCCGTGCAGCAGAAATCACTGCAAAGCGATTTTGTCGCTATGCGAAAATAAAAAGCCCATAGGAATGCATTAAAACCAGTTTAATGCGTTCCTATGGGCAAAAACCTCATCTTTAAGTGAAAATCCTCCATACGGCGGCCATTTTTGCTGCCTGGTAAGCGAGGAATCCGGGCGAAAACACAGCGGGCGGCCATTTTTTTTCCCCGGAGGCCATTTTGGAACCGCTGATCAGCTGTTGGAAAATCATTGCTATGCGATGATCGGTATGCGAAACAGGGTACCGATCATCGCAAAGCAATATTTTCCTATCTAAAACATCGCAATGCGATCGAAAAAACGATCGCAAAAAATTGTTGCTATGCGGATTCATCGTTAAACGGGGCGCCCATTAAGGGAGGCACCACTGTATTTAGTAGGCTTATCTGCAGAAAATATATATATAGGCCTCAAAACCTGCCTTATAGATTGGGACAGAAAATGTCCCATCTTAAACACTTGGATTGCCGTCATGGTTCATCTTGGACCAAGAAAGACCTTCACTTTGTTTTATTTTCTGAATCCTTGAATATTCTCCCAATTGATTAGATAAGAAACATCAACAAAGGCCTATACCCTCCCCCTTTTTTCTTTTTTAGCAGACTAGGATAATATTTCCTATTGTGTTTACACTTTCTGAAAGTATGAAACCTATAAAAATTTGGAACAATTGATTCAGATGCTGGACACTTATGGATCAAAAACACCATTTGAGTCTGTTGTTATTTAGTTTTTAAGATGTGTTTGATTCTTCATGACCCCATGAACCAGAGCACGCCAGGCCCTCCTGTCTTCCACTGCCTCCCAGAGTTGGGTCAAATTCATGCTGGTCGCTTCGATGACACTGTCCAACCATCTCGTCCTCTATCATCCCCTTCTCCTCTTGCCTTCACACTTTCCCAACATCAGGGTCTTTTCCAGGAAGTCTTCTCTACTCATGAGATGGCCAAGGTATTGAAGCCTCAGCTTCAGGATCTGTCCTTCCAGTGAGCACTCAGAGTTGATTTCCTTCAGAATGGATATGCTTGAGCTCCTTTCAATCCAGGGGACTCTCAAGAGTCTCCTCCAGCATCACAATTCAAAAGCATCAGTTATTCAGTGGTCAGCCTTCTTTTGGGCCCAGCTCTCACTTCCATACAACACTACTGGAAAAACCATAGTTTTGACTAGACCACTTGTGTCTAGAAACAATCAAATCAGAATGAAAGCCATTGTCTGCACTGCGTACATCAAACTCAGTAGGTCAAAGCTGTTTGGGATGAACATGGAGGTAAGCCTGGGACAGATGCAAGACCTGGTCATTCAGCATTGCATAGAAGATGAAGCCTACATGTGTTGCAGTGAATGTGCTTTTCTTATCACATGAAGGTATATAGGGAGAAAGAGTACATGCCTCCTTGCTGATTGTTTTGGGCTTTTCTTGGGATATTCTCCACCCTGACCATTATGGAACAGTATGAAACCACTTCACTAGAATGTAGCAACATGAAAACATGTTCTGAAGATGCATTATGGTTAGATGGGTTGTTTAAACCAGTAAGCTGTGTCTCTGAAGACCAATGGCCCTGGATGGGTCTGTCTACATAGTGTGCTCCATCATCTGTCAGGCTGGCATCAATTGTAACTACTAGGTTGGGAGCATCTTAAGACATTTTAAAACACAAAATGACAGTCCAAACCAAAAGAAATATTTTTTTAAAAAAAGAGAATCATAAAAATCCCAACAAGCAGATACATACAACTGAAATTTAGTTAGTGATGAAGGTTTAATATTTAATACATTTTTTAAAATTTATCTTGCCATTAAAAATATAAAAGGAATTCATTAATGGCTTGAAGATTTTCTTTCTATTTCTTTATATTACCATTTGCACTTATTTGTTCCATAATCCAAGGAAGGATTTGTATATTGATTGCTTTTTTGAGTTGTATATAAGATAGAATCATGACACATTTTCCATACTGTTATTTTGGCTTCACTTCTAACTACTCCACGCTGCTCTGTTGGTTTATTTGCCACGGCAATTTGTCACAGTTCAGAATATCAGCAGTTTAAGGTTAAGAGTTTGGTGGTCTTCCAGCCCGGCAAGCTGCCATGAGTATTAACATTATTAATTGCTTGGACACCCTTTTTTCTTGTTCATTCTCTCTTACTGTTGATAAACCCAATGCTGGTGTAGCACGGATAGTTTGATGTGTAGTATTTGCCATCCAAAAAAAGACACATTGCTATCCTCTCTGCAGAGGAAGGAAGTGGTGGTATCAAAAAATAGGATTGCACTCCACTTGTGTAGAACAAAAACAGACCAGTTGGGAAAAGGACAGGTTATATGGTTAAGGCAGTGTTTGGAGGTCGAGATCTGTCAGCTGAATGCTACATTAGAGTTCTTGCATCTTAGAGGTGATGGAGCAGACAGTTTTTTGTGTCACAAGGATCGCCACTCACAAAGTACCAGTTTCAGAAGGTTACTTCCCAGGCCTTGTGCAAGGCCAGGACACATGGTTGGCATTTTGGGACACATTCCTTTAGGATTGGCACTGCATCTACGGTGGCTGTCCTAGGATATGATGTTGAGGATATTTTAAAAAATGGGCAGATGGTCATCTGGCAAATACCACACATATGTTCGCCTATTACCATAGTGTTAAGTGCTGCTTGTTATCTATCGTTGCAGGTACGGAGAAGCTGTTGGCCTGAGTTTGAGTTCTGTTATGTGCGTATAGTTATGTCTTTTGGGCAACCAGATATGCCAGACAGACCAGTTGGGGTCGCAACCTGGGCCTTGCAGATGTGGCTGCAGTGGAATGGAGGGGACGGAGAGGCATGCTCTAGGATGGTTTCTTTGAATTGGCGTCCCCAGGTACTCTGGATGTGCCCCCTGACATTCTGGTGATTCATTTGGGAGAGAATGACTTGTCCCAAAAGTCGGGCAAGTTGCTGATCCTCCAGGTCATGGCAGACCTAAGAGCTTTTGCAGCACGGTGCCCCAAAACATGGATCATACGGTCGGCAATTATTCCATGTTTGGTGTGGAGAGATTTACAAGGGAATCTTAGGGCCAAAATTTTCAGCATGGTAGAAGGCATGGGACATACTAAGTAGTCCCTATGCTGTGGCGGGTAGTGCTAAAGATAAAAAGTTAGTTGAGTTCAGCTGAATAAAAGTATGGAAGGTGACTCATGCATGGGAAAAACTAAGGAAGGAGGGTATTGGACAGCCACAAACAGACAGGGCTCTGCTATGATGTAGGAGACCAGCTGTAAACTCCATGCTGGGTTTCTCCTAGAGGAGTCAGCTGGAGATCTTAGGCATCCTTAAGAAAGCAGAGATGTTTTGGAGCCTTTGGTTTTGAGTGTTGGGTTTAGCAGGATTTTTCAGAACCTTCTCCTATCAAATTTATGGGAAAGAAAGGAGAGACAAAGGAGATGAGTAAAAATCAGACAAGGAAGAGGGTTTTCTCTCTCTTGTTTTCTTTTTAAAAAAGAGAGTAAAAAAGGAAACATGATTTTTTTTTCCTGAGGCGAAGGCAGGGAGTCAGTGCTTTGGGGTTTAATTTATTAACTCCTTGTCTTTCCTGAGCAGCTAGAAGTGTTATGGATAGTTCCTTCACTTCAGACAGAGAATTCAACCCTCTCTCCATCCCATTCAACATTATTTAGGTTTGTCAGAAAAGAAAGAGAAAAATCTAAAGAATTGATAATTTAATATAGTTTATTATATTACACTGCAGTGGTGGCGCTGCGGGTTAAACTGCTGAAGCCTCTGTGCTGCAAGGTCAGAAGACCTGCAGTCGTAAGATCAAATCCACATGATGGAGTGAGCTCCCGTCACTTGTCCCAGCTCCTGCCAACCTAGCAGTTCCAGAGCATGTAAAGATGTGAGTAGATAAACAGGTACCACCTCGGTGGGAAGGTAACATTGTTCTGTGTCTAGTCATGCTGGCCACGTGACCAGAGATTATTGTCTGCGGGCAAACACTAGCTCTATGGGTTGGAAAAGGAGATGAGCACCGCCGCCTACAGTTGGACACGACTGGACAAATTTTCAAGGGGAACATTTACCTTTTAAAAAAATATCAAATATACTTACGTTTTGTCAACGATCATATACTTTGTCCACAGCGGTGAGTCCCAAACTGTGGCCTTTGCCATAGTAATGTATTTATTTATTATTTATTTCTTTCAATTATTTATATGCCATCTTTCTCCCCATAGAGGATGCAAGCTGTTCATAATGAACTTAAAAACACTATCTAAATATCACGTTTAAAATATCACCATGGCAAGATTGGACATTTCAAGGAATGGGCACAACTCATGCACCAGCTTTAACACTGAAAATGCGCTCCCGGCCAGTTGACAACTTTCTCAGTTGACAAATCAATAAGCTGATTTACTGCATGGAAATGGGGCGACTCCATTACGCCAACTGTCAGTTCTTGAATTTTAACAGTGATATCTGGGTGCTGTGAGTAAATACCACTAAAGTGTGATTCCCAGACCTTTTCTGGTATACAATTATTGATTCTACTGGATCTCACAGCAGCTTTTGATACCATCAACCATCTCAAGTAACTTTCTAGGGTGGGTCTTGGAGGTGCTCTTGTGCTGTCCGATCCTTCCTGAAAGACCTAACTTAGAAGGTGGTATTGGGGGATCCTGTTTGACATCCTGGCCATCTGTCTGTGGTGTCTATTAGGGCTCAGTCCTGTCCCCTATGGTATTTAACTTCTACAGTATATCACAGACAAATGTGTACACCCCTCACATTTCAAAAATATTTTAGTATATCTTTTCATGTGACAACACTGTTGTCAACTAATTGTTGTGACCACATTTACGGACCTTTTTGAGAATTATGTCAACGGGCCTGATGGTTCACCATGTGATTACTGATAATTGACTAACAATGATTCAATAGGGGCACACTCCCCCTGGCCAGTTCCTGGTGTAGGTCAATCACCAAGGCAACAAAGCTCTCTCTGTTCCATACCCAGGCTTGAACCCAGACTGAAATGGATCTAGATAACTGACTTTATCCAGGAACCTTTGGAGGTGAGATGCCACAATACGCTCCAAGAACTTGACCAGAAATGGAACAATGGAGATTGACTAATAATGATTCAAAGACAGATTTTTTTTAAAAGTCTTACTACCGCCCCCTTAAGACATTCTGGTACCTTACCTTGTTGCAAAGTGGCATTGAAAGGGAAGAGCTTGCATATTGCAGACATTAAAGACAAAAGTCTCCTGTAAGCCCAAAATAGATACCTTTACACACACCAAGACACTGCCTGATGCCTTTCCATATGAGGAGTGACTCTGACATTCTCTCTTTCCAAGCAATCCCTGATGGAGGTGGGTATCTCACTCATGTAGGCCAGTCAGTGTATTTTAGCCATGAGGGCAATACAGTGGTTCAATGCTTTCCAGAGGAGGGTCACAGAACTGCCTTCTGTCAGATGATACTCACATGGCAATAGCTCACATTGTTCAGAAAATAGCCTTTACACACATAGGATAGCTTTATTCTTTAATTTCTAAAATTAAACCTTGTGGATGCACTCTTGTAGTCTACTTTTAAAGCTGAATTTTACAAACATGTCATCAGAAGCTTGGTAAGAGTTCACCCTTCCCTCCATTTTCCAACCAGCTCTATACTCTCGGGGTTTTCCACACACGCTTTGGAACTCTGCAAGAAATATAAATGCCTACCTTCACACCTTGGCGGTGTTGACCACTCCTTATTTTCACATCTTATGGTGTCTGAACCAGATATTTCAAAACCTTCGTGGCACTGATAGTGCAGCTCGTGGCCTGGCAGGTAGGACTCTGCCCTCTCTTCTACCATTCTACCATTGTCAACCAGAGGGGGCTGTCTGCAGGTTACATCTGAATGAGGAGATGATGCAAAGAAGTAAGGACTTATCTGAAACTCTGCCTCCACCCAGCCTTCATAATGACTTTATTCTTTAAGGACTTGATGGTCTCATAGGTCACATCAAATTCTATTGTTCTATGATTCCATAATTATTCACTAGGGTGCACAGTTCTATAAGACTTTGAGTTTAGAGTGCCAACAGGTCAATGTGTAGAGGAGGCAGCAGAATCATGGGACGGTGATCTCAGCTTTCTTCCATGAACATTTGACAGCAGTTGAGAAGACAGCCTGTGACTCTCTAGTTGTTATTCACATAATCCAATGCCTTACATCTGCTGGAACCAGGAAATGGATCAGCTCAATTTACATGTTCAGTAGTACATAGATTGTTTTTGGCTCAGGATAGCATGTAAGCAGAGAATATTATTACTGCACAACAGAGAGCTTATGCCCAGAGTGGATATTGCCAAGTGTCTTCCCACAGTGGAGAGTAACAGTCTCTTCCCTGAAAACAACAGTTTTCAATGCGTTAGGACCACCTTAGTGCACAGATTTCTAAAAGGAAAACCTGCAACAGCATGGTCTGCAGGATGGATGAGGACGTCACTTTCCCCCAGAATTCTTAGTCTAGTGTTCTGCTCTACTATTGGTCATTCACTCATCCCACACAATAATGTCAACTCAAAGCAGCAACTCTCCAAGGTCTCAGCAGAGGCATTACCAACCCTCCCAAACATTTAGCCAGAAATGTCAGCTATTTAAGTTCCAAACATGTTTGTACTCTACCTAGAAGTCTTGGGAAAATCAGACTTTGTTGCTTAGGTGAGAAAGATAGGTTAGATTCCAGGACTGTGGGTGACAGAAATCCGCCCACACCTGCATACCTACCGAAAAGAGCACAGGACACTCACAAGTCCCCTTGACATATTGCCACAAGTAACTGGCCTGTGAACTCTTCACCACAAAAAAAACTATAGGACGTACCTTCACAGATGGAAGGCTGTGACCACTCTCCTCTTCTGCATGTAATAGTTTGTGGTCCTTTAGCTGCAAAACCAGGATGACACTCGTAATCTACTTTGTCTCCAGGCTTATAGGAGAGTTTCACAATTTTACGATATGAAGCATTGAAGATGGCGGGAGGCCTCTGGCATGACTTTTCTGTACAGATATACAAACAAAAGTAGAACCTTCAGAATAGGCTATGAAAAGCTACCCAAACATTTTTTGACCAAGACACAGAGCAGAGTTTCATGTCAACACTGAGCTTTGTTTTGTTCTTCATGTGTTACATGGCAAGAGACAGAAAAGTGAAAGAAAAGTATTGCATAATTGCACAGATGTTGTGGGAAATGCTGCAAAACACAACAAATGGTCACTTTATTTAACATGCAGCCCTTAGAGTAAGTCTGAATTTGTGCAGGTCCAAGTTCACAGCTTTCCCAATGTTCTACAACAAGGGAAGCAGGTTGCTTCCTCTGAACATTCAGTCCCTCTTTTAAGAATCCCCTGAATTTAGCAGAGAATCCTGAGGCCCAAGCTATGGCCTATTCTCAGATGGTTTAGTCCATCGGTGACATCTGCTGTGTTTGGTACATGCCCCCACATACAGAGGAGTTCATAACATGGTCTCTCTGAGGTATACTGAAACTAGATGCAGATCAGACTTAGTCATGTGGGAAGCTTATCCTATTCTGATTGTGAATTGATTAGAGTAGCTCCCAAAATTTTCTAGCACACCTCAGTGTTGCAAAGCATCATGTTTGTAGACCCTGAAGGTTTGCAGTTTGGCAGGGCATCTCATTTCAGCAGAGGCACAGCTAGGCATGGATCATTAGGTACAAATGGAATGTCCCTGTCATATGGATTCCAGATGTCACAGTCAAAATGTAACTTTTCAGAGTTCTCTTCCTGAGGTTTTATAGTATCATTTGTGAGAAACTGATGGCTTGTCTTTAATTATATCCAATTTTTCAAAAAAAAAAATCTGGCTTATGAATGAGGAATACTCTTCTTGTGTCCACAGTTCAGAATGCCGAAATATGGTCCAGTCAGGACGGTCACAGGATCTTCTCTTGTGTTCACAGCCGTTCGTAAAGACACCAAGCAAGGGAAAATCCCAGAAACTGACTTCACATTTTACCACTCAAATACAAAGCACAGACATCTCTCTCCCTCTTTGTGTCTCTTCTTTCTCTGTTGCTCCCTCTCACCCGCCCCCAGTGGCTTCTGTGTGTCTCTCTGTGTGTTTGACTCCTCTTTTTCTTTCACTTCTCTCTCTTATCCCCGCCCCCATGACTTGTCAGTATGTGTTTATTTGTTCCTAGTCACTTATGCCTTTGCTAAGACTGAAGTCCCAGCTGACCATCTTGCCCAGATATAAGCCCAGATAGGAGGCTTATTAGTTATGAAATATTTCAACGGGTTTTATGCAAGTTTTCATCTGTAAAACAAGCATCTTTAAGGTCCTGTATCTTCTAAACAACAGGATGGATCAACGTCAAATTTTTTTTAAAAAAAACACCTTGCAGCGGTGATAGTTTCCTTTTAGGAAATAGTGGAAGGCATTTGAAAAATAACAAAACAAATAACAAAAATGGCAAGAAAATAAAAGAATGGGAATGGTAGGAAGTGCTTTAAAAAAGATTTGAAATTTAAAAGTACTTGTCCAGCCTTCTTCAAATTTGTCACACAGCATGCCCATACTGTGGGCATACTACATCCTGCTAAATATCGTCCTGCTTCAGTTATGTTCAAAAGCTCACCTCTTATCAATAACAGCTTACGGAATGCTGTTTTGACTGGCCACACAATATCAAAGGTGCAGCCCTGTGCACCTCTAATATCTTCAGTGGGGTTCTTTCTCAGGCATCTTCCCAGCGTATTCTCAATAGCAAAATGGTGTAGAATGCTCAAATAACCCTCTCCAGTTATTCAGAACTCCTCACCTCTGAATGGAAGCACATTTTCTTACCTTTGCAACTTGGTAACTTAGACCACTCCATATTTTCACATTTAGCAGTGGTCCTAGATCCAACCATTTCAAAACCTTCATGGCAAAAATACTCCATGCTTTCGCCAGGAGCATACTTTCTAGGGGCATCATGTCTCGCCTCACCATTGGGAATTGAAGGGGGGTCTCCACATCTCGTATCTAGGAAAACATGTATGTGCTGTTAATTTTAAAAAGCTGAATAGCATAAAGGACGTGTTTATCCTGGCACATGTGCAACAACAACACCCATTATATTCACAATGTAATAATGAATGAGACAGCCATCATGAAGTCAATAAACTGAGAGAAGGGGGAGAATTGCAGACTTCTAGTGTCTGTGTGGTGTCTTCTGGTTTAAAAAGTGAGGACAGGAGAGCAGGCAGTTATCTAGAAGCACAACATTCTTTCTATGTAACAGAACACTGGTTCTTAACCTTGGGTTACTCAGGAATTTTGGACTGCAACTCCCAGAAGCCTTCTCACCACCAGCTGTCCTGACTGGGGTTTCTGGGAGTTGCAGTTCAAAAGCATCCGAGTAACAAAGGTTAAGAACCACTGGAATAGAATACAGGATAAGCCTACTGTAACCTTCTCCAAGGCAGGTGTACCAAGAAGAAAATTCCACTTTCTTTTGTGGGACATGCTTCCAGAAAAGGGCACACAGGATGACAGTGTTAGCTGGAATTCCTTAGACAATCTGAATTGCACCTGCATTCCTAACTATACTTGAGTTCATACTACACATATTGGTTTCGTCGCAAAGGCAAGCATCTCTTTCCTTTCATTTAGCCATTGTGGTTCAATTAAAAAAAAAACATTTGCTGCAGTGCATTGCAAAGTTCCCCTCTTATAAAATCAGCAACCAATGAAACTGGGTGTTGGAAAGTATACTCATCAGAAAAGAGCATCAAGGGTTCAGAAGATGCCTCCCATGCAGTTGTGAATGGGAAAGCAGGCTCCAAGCTCCTCTACTTCTGTTCTTTGAATGCCTGAGCTATACCTAAGTGCAGGTAACCAGACATGTGAAGGGTTCTGATTAGGAGCCGTGATGATTGTTGGCTGAATGATCACATGATCATAGCATTCTGCATTTATATACAGTGAGAATTGATGGAATAAGGCTGCTGGAGCTGAGAGAATCCAATGGAAGCAGACCTCCTGCACCTAATCTCCAGCGAGATGGCTTCTAGAGTCATGGCTGCTGTGTAAGGACAGCTACTATCATGGTTTCCTTTGTTGTTGGTTTTACTTTACTTTCTTTTATTTTTGGTTGGTTCGTTATTGGTGGTGGTGAGCTTTTTCCAAGAAATGAAACATAATGAGCTTGCAGAAAGGAGACAGACTGGAAGAATACAGTGATCTATCAGTTGTTATACATAGTTTAGGACACTGGTTCTTAACCTTGGGTTACTCAGGAGTTTTGGACTGCAACTCCCAGAAGCCTTCACCACCAACTGTGCTGGCTGGGGTTTCTGGGAGTTGCAGTTCAAAAACATCCGAGTAACAAAGGTTAAGAACCACTGGTTTAGGATATAATATACAGTAGAATAATAGAAGTGAATATCCAGATAATAGAATATACAGCTAATAATGAAAATGATTGCAAGTATTCCAGATACAGTATTTTCTCTTTGTCACACTGTCATTTGTATCTGATATCCGGAAAGGAAAAGCATACAAACCAACACAGCGGGGAGGTGTCTGCCATCTTCCTCCTTCACACATTATCTTCTGTGGTCCTTGGAGCACAAAAGGTTCCACACCCTTGTAACCAACCTCTTCACCATTCTTGTAGTTTCTCATCTCTGTTATGTTGACGGCATTTGGAAGCTGAGGTGGTGGTGGGCAGAGCTCTTGAAGGAAACATACATTCCATTTAGAACTGGATGACACAAAAATTTCGGGGAGAATCTTGAAAGAATATTTAATGAAGTATTAAAAGTAAGCAACTTTACAAATTTCCTTACCCTATGATGGGTTCAAAAGTATCATTAAATAGCTACTACACAAAAATTACGGGGAGAATCTTGAAAGAATATTTAATGAAGTATTAAAAGTAAGCAACTTTACAAGTTTCCTTACCCTATGATGGGTTCAAAAATATCATTAAATAGCTACTTTGGTCATGCGCTCGTAATCTCAAGATTAGACCACTGTAATGCGCTGTACATGGGGCTGCCTTTGAGGCTGATGCGGAAACTTCAAGTGGTGCAGAATGCAGCGGCCAGACTCCTTAGTGGAGTGAGAAAATACCAGCATATTTCTCCTATGCTGCATTCGCTGCCCATTCATTTCCGCATCGACTTTAAAGTTCTAATGCTCACTTATAAGGCCCTAAACGGTTTAGGACCTCGATATTTGGCAGAACGCCTTCTCCCACCAAGATCTACCCGGATCACCCATGCGAGCCAGGAGGTGAGGCTGAGTACCATCTAATTTAACTCTTGCATTGGTTAGGATACTTGTTCAACTTTCTGTTCTGACAGAAAAGTAGAGATCAATATAAATTCTTCCCGTGGAATAAATTAGATGTTCACTGTCCTGATTTCTAAGGAAACTTTCTACTTCAGGTTGGACATATTTTTAGAACAGATAGCATTTCTGCTATCCAGGTAAAATTTTACTGGAGTATCTATCTATCTATCTATCTATCTATCTATCTATCTATCTATCTATCTATCTATCTATCTATCTGTCTGCCTGTCTGTCTGTTTGTCTGTTCTATCTATCTATCTGTCTGTCTGTCTGTCTGTCTGTCTGTCTGTCTATCTATCTATCTATCTATCTATCTGATTGATTGATTGATTGATTGATTGATTGATTGATTGATTGATTTATACCCCACCTATCTGGCCTATAAGACCACTCTAGGCGGCTTCCAATATAATATAAACAATAAAATAATACAAAATATTACATAAATCATACTACAACAAATACAGTACAAAAATAGAGTAGAAAATAAATAAGGAGAATAAACAGAAAAATCAGATATTAGCTGGAGGGAAGGCCTGAATGTACAGCCATGTTTTAATTGACTTTTAAAAGTGCCCAGAGTGGGGGCTGCGCGAATCTCAGAAGGGAGATTGTTGCAGAGGCGAGGAGGCACTGCCGAGAAGGCCCAGTTTCATGTCTTTTCCTTCCAGGCCTCTCTCAGCATCAGGCTCCTCAGCCTCACCTCCTGGCTCGTGCAGGTGATCTGGGTAGCAGGTGTTCTGGTTGCTTCAGCGAAAAATACAACAAACACTCAGATTGTTGTTTCTGATTGAAAACCAACCCTGCATAAAATCGAAAAGAACCCAAAGCACTCAAAAGCTCCGAGATTGTGCAACACCAGATTCTAATACCTTCAGCCTCCTTTCAGCTCTCTCAATAAACCACAGCGTGTGCAGCAAAGCATGACAGCTTGACAAAAGTATAAATGTTTTAGTAACAGCAGAGATACATAAAAAGCATCATTGGTCAGAACAAAAGTAGTTCAAGAGCTCAAGGCATTGCAGAGTTTTTCCGACTGGAAAATAAAAACTTTTATCGAAACCTATCCATACTTACAAGCATACACATAGTTCAGAATGTTTTGATTATATGAAACATCACATAAAAAAAGGAAGCCATCTTTGCAAGATGATGATGAACTTTTAAATGGTTACCTTCTGCCTTATATCCCATCATCCCCTCATGAGATGATGAGTGTTCCACCAATCACATTGTGTATTTTAATAGATCGTAGATGTACAACTGAGGTCTGTTTAATTAGCTGTTCTTTACTCATCCACCTTAGTGGTCACAGGTGCAGGAAAGCAAGAAACGAATTCCGTTCCCTGGAGGAGCCCATCAAGGACATAGATAATAAAGCTTTCCTGTTATCTCAAGACAGCTCTACTTAATTCTCAAAATATGTTTGCTTTGCCTAGTCAGCCCAAGTATTTTACAGAATTTAGAGAAGTAATGTTAATCTCATCTCTGCTGAGTCCTTCACAGAAGTAAAGCAGAACAATATTAGAGTGCTTTCTTCAGTATGTCCCTGATAAAATATTGTTTCTACGTAAAGGCCAATTTGACAGTCATGTGAGCCCTGCAACTTTTTGCTGCTTTGAAGTCTAACAGCAGTGTTTAGGGGTGTGCAAAGCAACAATTTTGATATTTGGTGCACTAGTCCTTTTGTTTACATTTGCTTAATTATGAAGGCTACACATTGCCTCCCCCCCCCCTCTCCCACAGTGATCCAAGCACTCATTTTACCAAACCTAGAAGGCTGGAAGGCTGAGTCAACCTTGAGTTGGCTACCTGAACCTATTGGGCAGAGGCTTGCTTGCAATACTACAGCTTAACCACTGTGTCAATAGTTATGTGCTGCCAAGTTGTTTCATAGTCAGTCATGATGATCCTATGAGCGATTTTTCAGATTGGTGAGATATGGAAACAGTGGTTTTTCATGCCATACCCTCCACTGGATTTTGGTGGTCTAGCAGGGATTTGAACTCAGGTTATGAGCAGAGTCATGACTGCAGTACTGCAGTTTAACCATTGCGTCCTGAGGCTCTTATAAAAAAGAACTTAAAAGCATGCAAAAGTACATTTATTTATTCATCCATTCATTTAAAATATTTATCCCACACTTCTCCTTAAAAGGGACTTAAGGTGGACTATCTCAGTAGAAAATAATATTTAAAAGCTAAAAACAGTAAGTATACAAACATTACAAAAGAATCAAACAAATACCGCACTAAAAAGCTAAATAAAATCGATACACATACACACACAAAAAAACCACCTACAAAGCAACAAGGCACAACAATCTACTGGGAAAAAAACTCTCCAATCACTACGTGGGGCTGCTTTTGAGGCTGATGCGGAAACTTCAAGTGGTGCAGAATGCAGCAGCCAGACTCCTCAGTGGAGCGAGAAAATACCAGCATATCTCTCCTACGCTGGCCATGCTGCAGTGGCTGCCCATTCATTTCCACATCGACTTTAAAGTTTTAATGCTTACTTATAAGGCCCTAAATGGTTTAGGACCTCGATATTTGGCACTCAGATTGTTGTTTCTGATTGTTGTGTTTTTCCCTGAAGCACCCAGGAGTAAGCAAATCAGAGTGTGCTGGGGAAAGAGAAGGCCACAGAAGGCATTTACCAATCACTAGTGCACAGATCCACCGGGGCATAAGGCAACTTAAGTAGAAAAAGGGCTGTATGCAAGGCTTCCTCTAAACCACATGTGTGCAACTCAGCCTCCCTCTGCACAGTTTTCTTCCTCCTCCATGCAGCAATCATTTTCAAACCCTTTTGGTTTTGATCACCAAAGAACTGTGCACAGGGGGGTGGAGTTGCAAGTGCACGCAGACATCTGGAGGCCCAAGGTTGGGGACCACTGCTCTAAACCACACGTGTGCAACTCAGCCTCCCTCTGCCAGCTTTCTTCCTCCTCCATGCAGCAATCATTTTCAAACCCTTTTGGTTTTGATCACCAAAGAACTGTGCACAGGGGGGTGGAGTTGCAAGTGCACGCAGGAGCAAAGGCTTTTGGTTTTGATCACCAAAGAACTGTGCGCAGGGGGATGGAGTTGCAAGTGCACGCAGGGGCAAAGGCACCACAAGAAAGAGAGAGAGAGAGAGAGAGAGAGAGAGAGAGAGAGAGAGAGAGGTGGAGCCCTGTCCAGCATGACTGAAAATTAGAGGATAATTTTAATTAGAGGGTAATTAGAGGGTTTGCTGTATGACTGAGTGGTAAGAGGCCCCCTCTGTGTAATCTGATCAAACTTCCGCTTTTGGTGGCCACATCTGTCATTCTACTTGAAAAATCAGAAACATATACTGTCTTTGAAGTTCTAGTCAGGGAGGATTTGAAACATTTTATGTCAACTTGATGGTCCCATCTCTGTCAAATCCTGACTTTCACCCACCTAAACTAGAATACTAGTTATACCCTTCTTCTTGAAAAAGGACTCAGGGAAGTTATTCAGGATTTTGATGTATATAGTACTGAGGAGCTGCTCCCAATAAACTAGCAGAACCTCCTAAACATGTATTCACCACAAGATTTATAAACACACATGGCAGCTTGATGGCTCTGATATTTAAATGTCAAGATATGCATATATTTTGGTGTAGTATTCCCATCAGCCAGATTATGAAATACTCAATTGTTTGTGTTATTTAGAATGCTCAGGGAACTGTCACCACTATCCTAAGCAAAAACAAAAGAAAAATGAGACAAAAAAAAGAGACAAAAATGTAGTGGCACCTTGAAAACTAATTGCTATATTTCAATATGAGCTTCTGTGGACAAGTCCACTTCTTCGGGCACTGACTTAAAAAGTGGACATGTCCACAAACACTCATATTAAAATATAGCTGCTACTCTTTAAGGTGTCACAGTGTTTTGATCTTCTTTAATTTTCTATTTTTGTTTTTTTTTTCTTGCCAGACATGCTAGCACAGACTAACGTGGCTACTACTTCTAAAACTACCATTACCTTAAGACCATTCTTTTTCTTCTACCTTGTCAGGATGCCTAATATATGATCATAATAAAGACTGAATGACTAAAATCAGAAATTTATATATAATACACAAATGCACTCCTTGATTAAAATCTTCCGGGTTTAAGTGACAGTGCAACTTATTTATAAGGCAGAGTGATGCATACAAGAAAATTCATATCAGCTAGAAGCAGTACCATTCAAAACTTTACGTGCCAGTTTCAGTGCCCTCCCAGAGCTTTATTAAGAGAGATCTGGAATATGATTCACTGGATGCATGTGTGTGGTTCCCAGGAATTTATCGTTAGCTTAAGCTAAACAGTAGGCCCCTTGTATTCACTCCTCAGATCTTCCCAGACAATTTTTATTTAGATTGGGTGAGAGACAATAAAGAGAAATTACACACTTTGGATTTGTCTCACCTTTAGCATTATTGTATCCGAGGTTCCTCAAAGTTAAAGAAACAATTAAGCAATGGATCTGTGATACAACCTTTCAAGATCTCAGGTTACCTGGAAATCATCACAACAACTTTGTTCTGGCTGAACATCTTCATGGTCTGAAAATCCTTAACATCAAAGAGATTTTACACTAGCTCCCAGCTCTTATCTTTTTTTGCTTGCTTTAATCTTAAATTTTCTCTTTTGGGGAGGAGAGACACAGTCTTCTTGTCTTGGGAATAGCTTGCAACTAGGCTCTGACATCATGGTGTTACTTGCTGTGGGTGTCAATATGTCTCCCGCTCATGTCAATAGCACGTGACTTGAACTATTGCCCATATATTATTATTCTGCACATATTATAAGCATGCATCACATAGTACTAAATTCTTCCAAAGCAGGCCAGGCAATTTAGAAATCTATCTGCTTATGAAGCTTCCTGGCACTTTCTAGAGGCGGCCCCACATAGGGTGTGTTGCAGAAATGTCAGGGCATATGTCATCATGGCCCGATCAGATCTGTCCAGAAATGGGCAGAGGTGGCATACTACCCTGTTTTTCCAAAAATAAGAACTAACCTGAAAATAAGCCCTAGTATTATTTTGCAGAATGCTTGTAATATAAGCCCTACCCCAAAAATAAGTCCCAGTTAAGTGATACCCCGCCCTCCACCATTGTGCAGCAACCAGAAGAAGATGACATGACAGTATTTGAATAAATGTATATTGTTATACATGACAAAAATAAAACATCCCCTGAAAATAAGCCCTAAAGTGTTGTGTTTCTTTGGAGCAAAGATTAATATTATTTTTGGGGAAACACGATAGTTCTAATTGTGCAGATGCATTCCTGGCCAACAATGAAACCTTGGCATCTAGACTGAGAGAATAATCCAGGAGCATCCCCAAACAGTACAGCTGTGTTTTCAGAGGGAATGTAACCCCATTTAGCTGCATCCCTATTCCTTGATCTACCTTTCTACTTACCAGGAGCACTTTTCTACTGTGTGGATTAACTTCCAGTTTATTCACTCTCATCAAGTCTATTACTGATACTAGACACTGATCTAGAGCCAAAACTCCTTCCTGAGATTAATCATTCTGGTAATGAAGATATTTACCTTGCAGTGAGATTATGAAGTTGTTACTGCACATATAGATCTTCTACCTTGTCAGGATTCTTAATGTTCTAATAGTTCTACACAGAACAATGCAAAGAAATAGAGGAAAATAATAGGAAAGGAAAAACCAGAGATCTGTTCAGGAAAATTGGAGAGATTAGAGGAACATTTTGTGCAAAGATGAACATGATAAAGGACAAAAATGGTAGGGACCTCACAGAAGCAGAAAACATCAAGAAGAGGTGGCAAGAATACACAGAGAAACTATACCGGAAAGATTTGGATATCCCGGACAACCCAGATAGCGTGGCTGCTGACGTTGAACCAGACATCCTGGAGAGTGAAGTGTTGTCTAACAACAAGGCCAGAGGAAGTGATGGCATTCCAGTGGAAATTTTTAAAATCTTAAAAGATGATGCTGTTAAAGTGCTACACTCAATATGCCAGCAAGTTTGGAAAACTCAACAGTGGCCAGAGGACTGGAAAAGATCAGTCTACATCCCAATCCCAAAGAAAGGCAGTGCCAAAGAAT